TCTTTCAGGTTTTTATGTATATTATCCCATTCCTTTTTCACCTGTATGGTTTCTGCCAAGAAATCAGAGGTTAGTCTTATTGGTTGCCCTAGGTAACTTTTAGTTTTCCCATGCTGCTTTCAGGACATTTTCTTTCCCTTTGATTTTTATGTGTTTGATAATGATATATCTTGGTGTTTTTCTTTTGAGTCTATCCTGTTTGGGGTTCTTTGAAACTCCTGAATGGATATACTCTCATCTTTCATTATATTAGGCAAATTGTCTTTCAACAAGTCTTTGACAATTTTCTCTGTGATCTTGTTTTTCTTATACTCTTCTGGAATTCTGATTACACGTAGGTTATTCCTCTTGATGGTATCCCACTTGAATCTTAGGCTTTCATCATTTTGTGTTGATCTTTTTTTCTGATTTATCCTTTAACAAAATAGTATTGAGGTATTTGTCTTCAATGTCATTAATTCTGTGTCCCATTGACTTGATTCTACTCCTTTGTCCATTCACTGTGTTATCTATTTCTGAAATCGTAGTATTAATCTTCTGGATTTCTATTTGCTGTTTTTGAGTCTTTTCTAATTTTTTGTTTATTTTGTTAATTTGTTTCTATATTATGTTCCTAAATTGTTCTAGAGTTTTGTCTGTGTTTTCCTTGATCTGTCTCTCAATCTTTTAAAGGTATCCAAATATAATTTTTTTTTTTGAATTCCTAATAAGATATTTCCAATACTGCTTCCTCCTGACGGATATTTTCTGAGTTTGTATCCTGGTCCCTTGTTTTACTACTTTATCTTTTTTCTTTGTGTGGACTGTGATGATCTGTTGTATGAAGCATTGTGGTGTTGTGATATTTATGTTTAATTTGTGGTTCTAGTTTGGTGTAATTCACTCCAATTTTTTTTTTTTTTCCTTTTACTTTGATTTGATATACCTGTATGAGCAGGGTACTGTGATCCTCTATTTACTAGTTTATAACACTTAGGCACTCACCTCCTGACTTCTGGTGGGTGTGATAGAGAATGAGAGTGTGTGCACAGATCTCTGCTAGCTGTTTATAAAGAGCAATTGAGAGTGAGTTAAGCTATTATTGGCTGCCATCTATCACTGGTTAGTTGGTATAAATGCTAGTGGTGGCCCTCACTCAGTGGGTGGGGCTGCAGGAGGAGCAGGTACGTTAGGTTGTGTGGAAATGATCACTATCTTCCACTCAGCTAGAAAATTAATTAATTAATTAGTTAATTAAAATAAGAAAACAAAAAGCTCAAACCACATAAACAAAAAGGAATAATCTCTACCCCAAAAAAAATGCAATAAATGAGAAAAAATATTTTCAAAATATCTTTTAAAAGGATACATGAAAGATAAT